TGTGTGTGTGTGTGTGTGTGTGTGTGTGTGTGTGTGTGTGTGTGTGTGTGTGTGTGTGTGTGTGGAGGGCGGGTCCAGACCTCGGGTTCTTCATCACCCTGCAATGCTGCTGAGGCAGACAGGCTGCAGCTGCAGCAGCGGCGCTGCAGCCTGTCTGGCATCAATCATCAGCCGGAAGCTCACATCTAAACACAAACATGCTCCCGTACCTGGCGATGGCGCTCGGGGTCTCTGTCTGTCTGCGTGTCAGTAAAGCTGCTGTCTTATCTTGCTGTGCTCTTGGCTAACATTCATCACTGCTGTCTCTGACTAACTGCATGGAGCCCTCTCTGATGAATAAGCCCTCAGCTTGCTTTGGATGTTCAGAAGTTAGTTTTTCAGAGGTTTAGTCCTGTGTTAGCCTCGTTTGGGATGTCAGCACTCTGCACATTACTTTAACCTGGACACAAGACGTGTCACCTTGATCGGTGACAAGAGCAGCAGGACGGTTAGAGAAGACAGATGAACACGGGCCTGACGAGCCACAGGAAGTACGATGGACGCTGCAGTTATGTCTCTCAGAGGTATCTGTGTTGTCTCTGTGCTCGCCGTCCGTGTGGACAGATAAGACGTTACCTGCTGAGAGCCGGTGCAGGCGAGAAAAACAGGCTGATAAATATGCAAAATGCTGCAAATGCAGCGACCTGCAGGGTCACAACAACAACTCTAAAGATCCACCTGCTGCTGGATAACAAGAAGGCTCCATTCTGCTGTGAATCCTGGAGTAATGAGCAGAGTGCTGAGGTCAGCGATGAGGCTGGTGCGACATCAGTTACTGTCACACGTGTGTTTTAAAACACTGTGTGCACGAGAACAATGCAGAACACACGTGAACGCGTGACATCGCCACTTTCCGTCTCTGTGGTTAAAACCAAAGGTGCTGAATTCCAGTGGGTGCAGTGCATGCTGGTTAATATTCATGTCACAGTGAGAGACCCTTCGGCTCCTCAGATCAGTCCCACCGGTTTATTTTGATTAAAATACATTTTATGATGTGTTAATGCAGCCGCTGAGCCATTAAACAGAGGAAGCATCTGTGAGCTACAGGTTCATTATGAGAACATAATTCCTGTCGTTGCATCTCCAACGCTGCACCTTTCGTGCGGTCGCAGCAGCATCTGGTGACTCTGGTTTATTATGAAGAGCGCACAAGCAGTCGGCCCTCATCTGTTATCTCATTAGCAGCACTTATTCAAAAGTCCGTCGAGGTTCACGGAAGAAATGCAAACAAATGAATGACCGGAGATTCGGTGAGACCAGTGTTTCCCATCACACGCTCAGCCGCCGCGTCGGCCGTGCAGCAAACATGCTGAATGACATCAAGCAGGTGTTTTGTGCTTTTTTTCCTCGTGGTCATCAGCTGGATCGTGTCTTCTAAATCCCGCCTTCTTCCTGAGGGGAAACTGACACGTGACGCCTCGAGTTCGACCTTTGCAGTTCTCTCCTTACTGCAAAATGCTTGCAAAATGTGTATGTGGTTATTTTGGTTGCCTTCAGTGTCTGACTTAGTTTTTTTATGACACTTTGTGGTGTCACCCTGTTCATTTGTTGCTTCCACGTCAAATCCCAGGCCCACAGAGCGGACTTCATTATTCCAGGTGCAGACTTGAGGAGGAGAGTGATTAAAAACATCAGAATGAGTCTTTACTCGTTAAGAGATGCAAAGAGAGCACCTGCTTCAAATGACTAATCACTGAGTAATCGCTCTGTCCACTCGAGACTTCCTGCCGTTGCGCTGACTCAGTATCACTGATCGTGCCGGCCTGGGATGACAGTGGAGCATGCTTTTTGAAAATATGCCTGCAAACATGCAAGTGCACCAGTTTGCATGTTCTTTGTTCATTTGGTTTCTTTTCAGTTTTTCCCCACTTTGGTTTGCCATCGTTTGAAGCAGACTACACCTCCTTTGTTTTCTTCTTCCATGATTTCTTTTTTGTTCTATTTTATTTTGAAGGGATTAACTGGTGCTTTGTTTCCTATTCTTTTGTTTCAGTAAAGGGACCCGGCAGAAAGTTAAGTCTGCCAACAGATCTTAAGACTGATCTTGGTACGGTAGGCGAAAGCCAGCAGTTTTCACTTGATTTCCTTTGAGTTTCTGCTTTTCTCATGGTTTCTAGGCTTTTGTGTTGCATTAGTACTTTTGGATTTCACTCAAACTTTCCTCTTTCAGTTTCCTTGTTGCTCTGTCCGCCTGTTCAACCAGCCCATGAGACTGTCGGCCTAACGTGTTCGTCCATTTTGCCCGTCAGTGTGTTTTGATTTAAAGCGTCTGTGTTTGTTCCTTCTACATTTTGCAAGTGTTTACAAAGGTGATTTGTAGCTCATGCCCATATTTGAACTTGAGGCATTCTATCGCTTTACCATGATTGGACCATCCTCTGATTTATGCAACCTTTCCTCCATTGACAGGCTTTGCTCTGCGGTGCTGGATCACTTGCTACCT